ATGTGTATTATTTTCTAAAAGATGAGCTCTTATGTATCTAGAAGGCTTCATTTTTTTTTTTATCGAAACGTTCCCTTCGATTCATTCAACCATTATCAAAGAATGAAGGCATGATCTCTTTAGAGAAAGCAGTAAAACTTAATGAAAGGGAGAAGAATATCAATTATATACAAAACGTTGAAATTACATAAAAGATAATTGTATTTTGTATCTATGCTACAAAATCAGATCTGTGTTGTTTCTAAGCAAAAAGTGTGTTATATTCCTATCGCATAAAGAGATTCCGCTATATTAATTATATCTGTCGAATTATATATGTTGGCGATTCGCATGTAGATATTGTTACACATCGTCATTCAACCATTATCGTAATTATGCATAATCGTATTTTATATGCAATAGACGGTAGCAATTCTATATTTACTAAAAAGAATAATATTCATCTATTGCTTATCTATCTTTTTCGTCACTTATCTATCTTTTTAATCAGTGCGAGATATATACACAAAATGATAATTATCTATGTGAGTGCAACGAGCCAATGCGACTGAGTTTTCATTGTTCTTCCACTTAATTTCCATTGAGCAAAAGTTGATTACTAGTATCTCCATATATAATTGGCAACTAGCAAGTTAACTGCGAGAAATTCCATGAATAAAGTTGACATTATATGTGGATATAATGTATGACATATTGTATGAGAATGACACGGCTGGTCGCACGCTCCGAAAATCTAAAACTCGATTAATATATATCCCATCTGTAGGTGAAGAATCTATAAGTAGATTTTGTGCAGGCAGACATCAGTCATATTCGTATATTATTTATACTGACCTCATGGACACGAGACATCTCCTCGTTGCTAACGTGACTGTAATGTATGCATCTAATATATTTTTATCAATCACACAAGTTCGTCTAGGCCAGTTTCGTTGATTGACGAAATGTAAAACATTTGTAATTCTTTCCTCCATTTGCCCCTCCCTCTTCTCTTTCATATTAATTTAATTAGTTCTTAACGGGATTGTATATTTTATATATCATTTCATATCTGCTTATACCAAATATTCTCTCCCCCCCCCTACCTCCTCTTGTTTGTTTCATATTTTTTACGATAATCAAAAATTATTTTAAACATGTTGGTTCTATATAAAATAAAATTAAAAACAAAAATCGATAAGGGAAAATTGAAGATCACACAAAATATACAGTAATAGAAATATAATCTTTCACTTGTAACTTTTTGATATATGCATCTCAAGTCTTTCCGTGATCTTTTAATATTAATCTATACGAGATCTCTCTGAATGACAGGCTTTGTAAGAGAAACGTGGCAGCTGCGTGTCCTTTCGCTTCGTATTTTGCGCGCATTCCGATGAAATAAAACGAAACAGGCAAGGGTAGCGGCCCGAGTCGAGAAGAAATATTTCGAAACGGGAAAATGTTAAATGAGTGAACTGTCCGACTGTCACTCTGCCTAGTATCTAATTTCTCAGTATTTGATTAAAATCTGAGTTAAAACGATCTCGTGAATATATTGTTTCCATCAAAAATACACATGTAACATTTCTTCAAGATGCGAGTTTTTATATATCTTGTATACAGCAATATACATCTCTTAATTAATCAATCAGATAGTCTGTAATATCACATATTTGACCATTTCGGAAACATTCATCAATCCATTTACATTTCACAATTTTTACAAATGTTGGCTCATATGCCTCCATACTTCTTGTGTTAGTACTTGTCTTGTTATTTTTTACAAAGACATGTGTAACAGAATTATCAATACTGTCTTTAACTATACCTGACATAAAACGGAATTTAAACTTAGCACAACACGATTGATTCTCAAAGAATCCAATCATATTCCTAAATAAGGAATAAGGTGATGCATTTCCATTGAACAATTCCTTGTCCAGTTCTTTTTCATCTTCAACAGTTAACTGATTATTTATCAACTAGATGATTTACAAAATTACTACATTAGTGCAATAATGCACATATGTATATTTATTAATAAATTTGATTCAAATTACCTCAACAATAATCGGTTGAGCAATTTTGCCGAATGAACGCTTTAAACTGTCCTCATTTGCATCAACGATAAAATTATCGCAATATTCATCATAGTTTTTTGCAATTTGGAGTCTAGTAGTTTTCCGGCTACATAATAATTCCCACGGTAAAAAATCACCTAACGAGGCCCAGTCGGATTGATTGGTAATACGTTTAAACCAATCCAGAGTTACAACATCGTATTTTTTACTGTTTACTACTTCTTTTCCCCGTATCTGAAATAATAATTTACACATAATTTGTTCTATTGATTCGAAAACTATTAGATATATTCAAGGCTGAACTGTATGATGGTCGATAGGAAATAGATATATTTTTACATGCACGTACACGCGCGCGCGCGGTGTGTGTGTGTGTGTGTGTGTGTGTGGGGGGGGTGTCATACCGTACCGTTTTATCATTGCCTACTATCACACAGAAAGTTGTACTCATTGGATTTTGAACAATTTTTGCACTATGCTGCTGTAATATTTCTTCAATTTGCTTCTTCGATAATTCATCGTTACCATTTATTACACAAATTTCTTTTCCATCCAATAATCGTGTGAGTGGCACTATTCGCTTATTGTACGTATTATGTTCAATCGATTTATTTTGATTCGCTGTCCTTTGTAATTTAAAAGTTGATACTTGATCGACATCATATATAGTAATGTTTCGTTTGGTTAACTTTTGGATCATTCCTCCATCCTGTAACGATTATTATAAACTATAAATAAATAATAACAGCTGCTAATCTCACGTCAGTTTATCGTTCAGTATTCACATACTTTGACCAAAGATAAGAATTCAGAAGTAGTACATGGATTGTACCATGGCTTATCCGTTCTCATTTTCGTAACTCTAGGAAATCTTAAACTGTATCCAATTGGATAATCATTGCTGCGTATTATCTCAGTCGCTCGTATCGTTAAAATTATAGAATGTTCTGGAAGAATCCACACATTTGGCTGATTTTTCTAAAACAGCAACATAATTTATTATATAAATTATATATATAAAGATATAATATAGATTAACATAAAATCTATGTATAAAGATAACATCGAATAACGTTGAAAAAATATACACATACGACGTATACCTAAAATAGTATATAATAATTAATATTTACTTTGGGACCCATGATATTTTCAGGACGTTCCTTAATCCAATATGGTGTAAATTTTGTTTGGAGATAACGTAGCATTTCATCTCCTATTCCAGTGCTTACGGATACGACAGAAAGAAATTGTAATGAATTTTCTTCGTTGCTTGTTGGAGTGACAACGCCCATCATGAAACTTTTAATCATTCCTATATATTTACCTTCTCCATAGTAACCGCCAAGTATAATCATGTCTATATCTTGTACTAAATTGTCGGAATACTGTAAAAATAAAAGTCTTAATATTATTTCTAGATATTGACTATACTATCATTCCATATTGCACAATATTACATAGGCTATTCGATAAACTTTTTTCTCGAAAACCAGAAGAGCATGCATATGCATTACAAATTTTCAATGTTTTCGTTCTCTCTCTCTCTCTCTTTCGTTCTCTCTCTCTCTCTCTCTCTCTCTCTCTCTCTCTCTGTGCAGTACATTAAATCTTTTCTATAGACTCGAAATAACATAAAATATAAATAATATAAAGTAATACTAAACAAGTTTTACCTCCGCTTTAATTTTATAACAACCACTACCATCTCGGATATTAGGTTTATATTTCATATCATATTTCTTTACGACAAGCCCTTCCTCATTATCACGCAGATGTATATTGAATGTCTCTATCAACTCCTCCCTTACAAGAAAAATCATAATAATTAATATTAATTCGCTTTTAAAAAATAATTCCATGTAAAAGAAAAACAATTCTGTCCAATTCCAGATCATTCAGTTTATATAATAAAATTATTAACTGTAACATTATCGACTCTCATAATAGCATACCTGTTTGAAATTAAGGTAGACTGACACACAATTACAGAACCTTCCTCTTCTGTTAATATATCATTGAGAAGTTTTAATCTATCTTTATAAGGCGTGTCAACAAGCAAGATATCATTATGCAGAATCACATCGAACACGATAAAACACGGTTGATGATGACTATTTGTCGTTAAATTTTTCACGTCGACATTCATACCTTTGGTACTAAATATTCTTTTCTCTTTATGCCAAGCCATTAATTCTCCATCCAATATAAAAGAATGACAATTCGGATTCAAACACCGCGTAAATATCTCGGTCAAGAAGCCTATTGGATCATAGTAAGTACACACAATTTTAGAAATGAAGTGAACATGTATTGATTTTTTATATTTTTTTCATATGGTTAATCATAGAAATCAACATCGATCCGACTGATATTAATTTGAGGAAGTTATGTGATTTTCAATTAATATTTCATTCGACTTGTTGTCATACCTGAAGATCCAGTTTCACCATATCCAGGTTTGTTTGTAATATCATATCCCCTACGCGTGAAATATTTAAATATTCCGTCTTTCATGTGTAGTTGCGATCTCTCGCCGTCGTATTTGGTTTGTACGTAATACAAGTCATTGCCCCGAAATAATTTCCCGATATTCTCGATGTTACATCTTTCTAAGAGCATCGGTTTAAAATGCGAAAATATTCGTATGCCGCGTTTCAATTTGACCTTTGGATCATGTAATTCGTTACAAATCTCTCGTAGATCACTCGTTACGAGAAATTTGTCATTCGCATCCGGATGATAAACTTAAAAAAAATGAATCAATTAGTTTTACAGTGTGTTTCGGTATATTCTTTTTACAAGAATCCTTTTCCATTTACATGATTCTCTTTACTTTGCTTTTTTTTGCATTATTAAAAAAATTACGAAACTGTGTAATATTCTTTGCGTTCCTATATTAAGTCGTAAATCCTTAAGAATGATACGTGTTACCCATTTCATCTCAAATCCCGTAATTTTTCGGAAGAGCACTCTGAACGTTTCAACTTTTTGCTGCATCGTTGCGTTTTTCTCGGTAATATCATCGAGAAACGTGTTAATTTGTGCGATCGTAAATCCGGTACTATATCGAGGTAACCTTTTATCCAATATGCAATAGGCTCGGTCAGCGAAATCATTTCCTAAAAATTCGCTCGACGTGGACTCTCTAGAATATAAATCTTTGCATTTGTAAGAAAATCTCTTCTCGAGCAAGTGTACAATTTGTTTTATCTCATTCTAACTTATAGTTACAGTTGCGATACTGACCGATAATTTATCAATTTTTTGTAACTATCGCTACTTTTCGTAAAACCGTATACGCGAGCGTAAAGCTTTGCCAGCGAAATTTGCTTCAAATTATGTGGTCCACGCTGTCGCTCAAGATGAGGCAATATCAATCTTAATATAGGATACAGCGATGCGTCCTAAGACAAAATTAAATCACGAATGATAATGGCGACATCGTATTATATAAATAATTTTCTTTTTATATATATATATATATTAAGCTCACGCGCTTACAGATCTTCTTTCTAAGACATCGCATAATATGATATATATAATATGGTATCGCATAATATGATATATGTAGCACATACCGAGTCAGGATATTCCGCTTTTAATTTGTTGCCGATATTTCGACATTCGTCGAAAAACGTTTGCAAAATTTGTTCCTTCTTTTTTATCTCATGTGCTCTGATAACATTTTCCAAAGTGTCGCATAATCGCTTAAATTCAATCCTAGTCTCTAAAAGGCCACTGGTCATTACTCTATAGAAAAATATTAAAATTAACTATCTTTTAACGCCTCAAAAGATTGGACTCTTTTTCACTTCTTTGGAAAAAAAAAAAAAAACGAGATACTTTATTATTTTTTATTATACGATCACATGTAGCGACAGCAAGATGTACTAAAATTATGTAACAATACGATAGATTTCCTAACTTATAAAATATCTCAACACTTCATTCTTTAGAATAATTAAAAATGAGTAACTTTTTCCTTCCAAATTTTTGCAAAAAGAAATCAATAAAAATATGTACAGATTTTGTTGGAAAGAAAGTTATATCTTTTTTATAAAAATTACAGTGCTATATACATGCAAGTACACACACGCATACATACGTGTATACATGCGCGCGTGCGCGCGCGCATACGCATACGTTTATATATAACTAGTAAAAATTCTTTTTTACGAGATTTTACGTTTGATCGACTGAACTTTTCAGTTTTAATTCATATTGTTATATAATCATCAAGATACATTCTAGCAAGAAGATAATTTTCGGATTGCAAGTAGATGAGATGCAAATTAAAAGCTGCTTCTTTTCTCAAATCCAAGAGATTTGCATGTTGTTTGACCAAGTCTCCTGCATCTTCTTTCAGAACCAACTTGTAGAAGTGAATTGCGGATGGTAACAAACCAATTTGATGAAATGCTCGTGCCATATTGTAATAAGTTTCTTGCTGGCCTTCTTTACCACGTAATTGAGTATATTTTTTGAAGAAGGCTAGTGCTGTATAGAAAGATAAAGATTGGAGAAAAATTAGAAAAACTTTTAGAAGGCATATAGCTCATAATTACATTTGATAATTTTTATTGGTCACCTTCAGTAGAATGTTTATTTTGAAACATGAAAGTTTTTTTACACTGAGATTGGATTATTCTTTTAGATCTATAATCTATTTTTAGAAAAAAGCTTCCAACAGAAAAAATAAATATCTGCCGAATATGACCATTGTTTCATTACATTAGACGTTATTAAAACGAAAAAAAGGTGTCTATATGTGTGCTTAAATCTTTTACAATCTTAAATAAATGCTACGCGCGCGCGCATATACATATACATCTTAATAAAATTTAAAATTGATTCTTATTTCAATCTTACTAGGAGAGTGAGATGTATACGTGTACGCACCTTGAATTACAAGTTGATTCTTCTTAGCTGACATCTTTTGACATGCCATTTGTAATTGCGTCACACCTATTAACAATGCTAACAATGCGCTAGGAGCGACTTTAAAGAGAGACATGTAACCATTTAAAGCATATTTATAAGTTCCCGAAACAAGACAATTATTTGCATGCATAATATGCAAATATGAAAACACATCTCTCTCAAGTAATCGCATTATGAATCTGTTATGTCGCAAATCTTCTGCTCTTTGAATAATTATATTTAATAAGTTCCATGAGTTAGATTTCTGACGAACACGTACGAATTCTCGTACGATTTCTTTAACGATATTATATCCATAGTATGAATCTTTGTTATGAATGCAAGAAATTAAACACAAAAAAATTATGTGAGCGTTTCTCTTTTTAAATCTCTTTGATGTGAGAGCAGTGAAACATAGCCTTTGAAGAAAACCATACTTTTTCAATTTACACGCTAGCTTACACATTTGTAGAAAAAGTAAAAATTCATTTTTCTCGCTTGGTTTCACATTAACGAGAAATGTAGGAGCATTTTCATCCTCCAATTTTTCCCCGCATGACAAACGATGAAGTTGTAAGCTATCAAGTCGTTGGCGAACACCTGTTGCACGCGCCAATGCATTCAATTCATCCTTTCTTCTTATATTAACACAATGTCTCGAGAGAAGTAACATTCCTGACGTAAAGTATTCCTCGTATCTTCCAACTTTAAAAAGTAGTAGTGTTCTTTGATACAGAACATCAGGATCTAATGTATCAGATTCAGGATCTTGATAAAGAACTTCTATCGCTTTGTTATAACATTCTGATTTTTTGTAAAGCTTGGCTAGAGCTAGTCTCGCGCCTAAGTGCTGAGGTGACAATTCGCGAACAGTCTCGTAAGACTTTATGGCTTTATCGAAATCATTGCAACCAACCCAACATTCTGCATGCCTCAACCAGACTGCAGCTAAGCTATAGTTGCAACTTTTAACTAATGGATCCAACAAGAGCATGGCGCGCCGAAATTCTTTTTTGCCCATTAATGCTTCCGCTATATCTAAAAAGAGATCTCCAGAAATTTCTGGATTCTCGTACATGTAAAATTTAGATAGCAATTTTTCAGCTATTGGAATATAGTCCAATTCGATGAGAGTTATGAGAAATTTCGCTTTTAAGTCGACAACCACATTATCCGGTACATTATAGGACTCTATTTCACTATTTTGATTTTTTGATGGAGATTTAGCTTTTCCTTTTGCATTACCAGATTCTTCTTTTTTCTCGGCCTTTGTACCATTAACTGTTTTCTTTTGTTCTTCTTCTACATTATTTTTATATAATATTTGAATATCTGTATACTTTACTAATACATCTAAACACCTTTTAAATTGTTTCAGCGCTATTAATAATTCAGTCATGATATTAACCTCTTCTAATGTAATAAGATCAGGACATTTGGCAAAAATAGTTTCAATTGCTTCCAATGCCTGTTCATTGTTATTCTCTTGCATATAACGTTTGGCCAATATTTTTGCATACTTCATTATATATTCACCATCTTCGGTTTCCAATTGATGGATCAGTTTTGTATAGCCTCTCAAGTATGCTTTTTTATCTCCGTTCTGTTCTTGAAGATGCGCTCGCGTCTCATATAAACTTATATCCTTTGGACTAGCTTGAATCGCTTTGGAGTAACATGTTATCGCTTGTTTTATGTTGCTACTTTCTAATGACAAAGTAGCTAATCTTACCCATTGATCAGCATCTTTGGGACTAAGATGCGCAGCGATTAGAGCAAATTGCAAAGACTTCTCTGGTTGATCATTTTCATATATCATAGCTAATGTCTGAAATGGTTCTGGCGCGCTTGGTACTTGCCTGAAGAAATAATTAGTGATTGTCAAAGTAGTAATTTAAGCAAGTTCTGCTTAAAAATTTGAATGAAATATATTATTAGCATGACAAACTTGCCTAATAATCTCCATACATATTTGTGCTGCTAAATCTACCTCTCCCTTTGCGAACCTTAAGTTCGCTTCTCCCATAAGTCCCTGCAAAACAGGAGGTAAAACTCGTCTTTTCTTTTTTTGACGCACCTGTGGCATTATATTTGTTTTGTATGACTTTTGTTCTATAATCTTTTGTGCAGGAACATATTCAAATCCACTTATCCTTCTGAAAATAAGATAATGACTCACTAATTTGCATAATCAGTTGTTAAAATGATGAAAATATATTTTCATTCATACCTGGATGCATCAGTTTCTATCATTTCCAAATCTGTACCCTGATCCATTCTTGAGGAATATTCACTAAATGTCAATTCGCCATTTAAAAATTGTTTTGTTAAGCGATCTTCCTCATCAGTGGTCAGCAATACATCCTGATCTTCCATATCTGTGATATCTTTATTGGAATTGGGCGACGAAGAGAATGTACAACTTGGAACAATATCTGTCACTTCTCTCATTTGTAATGCCTTTGCTTCAACAAACTCATTTATATCTACATTCATTGAGCTAATAGCACTTTCATCCAATTCTTCTATTATCACTGGTGCTACGCTACTATTTTCACTAATAATCAGACTATCACTGGCAATCGGTTTTTCAAGTTCCACTTCCATTGCTGTTTTTTCAGTCATATCAGTCATGCTGATGTTTACTTTATTTACATTGTATTCCATAATTGTTTCATTACACAGTAGATGTAATAATGCCTCATCAGCTTGTATGGCTACGCGTTATATAATAAATTTATATTTTAAGAAGTAAAGTCGCTTGAGATTTGTATTATATATTTCATTATCATTTCATTATATCATATCATCGATGTTAAGTTGGCTCTGTTTTGCTATTGCTACATGTGATGTATTACAGAAATCCGATAAGATTCTTTCTCACACACAGCACACGCGCGCGCGCACGCACACATCATTTTGCCACATTTGTACCTACCGTATAATTCGTATAAAGAATGCACGTAAAAAAATTACACGTATAAATTTGCTAAATCAACGAATTGAGATCAGCTAACATTTTTCCATCAAAATCAATAAATTAAGACCCCTGAATACTCAGTGAAGAACTCCGCGTTGACGATAGCGACGTACTGTGGTGAAAAAAAGAAGCTCATACATCCTTGTTCATCTGTAACGTGCGGACAACGAAATTTTTTATAACGACTATTTTCGTTATTATGTGCTTAATCAGATGTGCAGATATGACTTGTTACGTACTTATCAGATTCGTAAAAATAGGCGACAGCTAAAATTATCGTCGGACATTATATGTGAAAGCATTTTTTTCACTTCTTTCAACAGCTGTCAAATCGTGTGTTTTCTGCCTGAACAGGCTTCATCTTACATGCTTTTTACAGCTATTTATTGACTATCAGGAAGGGAAAGGATAGCAGCCCATTTTCACAAGTGTCTTAAAACCATAAGTGTCTTAACCATATCAAGTGTTATTTTAGTCAAATATCTTTTTATTTGCAAAACTACCGTCATAAACTTTATTGTGTCATTTCTCGTCTATGACGTCACGATTCCAATATGGCCGCGGTGATTACTCAGGGGCTTTAAATACTGATTAATTAAAGTAATCAATTAAATGGATATGTGACATATCGCCTAGTGATTATATCAAAACGATAGCTACGATTACTCTCAAATATTCTTAAGTTTGTCTTTGGAAAATTAGCCAATCGCATTTCTATCATAAAGATACATGTAAAATACGTTTGGATAATTTTCATTAGTCCCGGTCTATAATAGGTGATTTAAGCCTTAAGCCATAAGAAATGGATGAATCATAATCAAAGAATAGAAGAATAATCGATTATGATTGGTCAATTTCTTCAGGATTAAATTACTTATTGTAGACCGGGACTTAACATCGCCGTGTAAACATCGCCGTAGTAAATTCTCATTTTATCCGAGATTTCAGATGAAAAAAATTGACCAATCATATTGATCAATTGGCGAAAATAGTGATTGCAATTGGTCAATTTTTTTCTGTCCGAGATCTCGGATCGATTTTGTGGATAAGGCTTTAGAGGATCTCTACGGCTTGTTCTACAATACGCATATCAGTGTCGCAAGCCACAAGAATTGACCAATCATTGACGAATGTGGGGAGAATATTTGATTGTGATTGGCCCATTCTTATGGCCCACGACACCGACACACAACGTATTGTGGAACAGGCTTACGAGATGTTATTTTGATTTTTCGATGAATATTTTGAATAATTGTCGCAAGTTAGCGAGAGCGAAAAAAAAGGACACATAAGATCAAGATATATAAAAATGTCACTTTGAATAAGCAGAGTGTTTGCAAAAGTGGGTCGAAAGGTTCTGCCGTCATACAACAAAGCAATTTGGATATGTCATTACGATTGAACGCAAACGAAACAAATATTCGATAAACTTAAAATCAAGCCTTTGTGTTTGTTTTCAAATAATAACCTTGAATTTAGTGTGTTATTATATAGTTGAATATAAATGATATTATAAATTGTGATTATAATATAACTGTTTATGTGTGACATGGAAGTATTGTCAAATGGTTTAGAATATATGCAGAACAACTCCTTCATAGACAAGTATATTTCAACTTCTCAAAATTAATATTTTTTATAAGAAAATATAAAGATATAATAAGGATACTTCAATTTTAATAAATTATAAAAAGTATAATGCTTTCCTTTGATTTGCAAAAAGATTTTGATCAAGAGAAAGTACATGTAATGTAAAAGTTCCAATATTGAAACTGATTCTATATTGAACAGCTGGATAGTATAATATTTTTGATATGAAGAATATGGAATTTTTAAATGTGAAAATAAAATATGTATTTATTTATTAATTGTCAAAGTATTCACATATTGGATTTCATTTCAATTAACATTTTAATAAGATTTTACATTTAGAAATGATTTTTTAACAAATATTTACTTTTACATACTCTGTTATTACACTTTATTATGTCTTTAAAAATTTGTAAGAATTTCTTTGATTTTTAATTAAGGAA